AAAAAAAAAAATAAGCCGAAAAACATGTTAGTAAACTCCACAAATTCAAATTCACTACAGGATTACCAAGACGACCTGGTTTATGGAATTTCAAAGTTATTGAATGTATCCATAATTACAACGAAGCTAAGTTAAATACTCTTCAACCTAAAAGCCACCGGCTTCATCACTGCCCGTGGCACCATCCAGTGGACGTAGTACTCTTTTTGCAAAACGGCGTGCATCGATAAGGAATTGAACCATTGCTGTTCACATTCACACGCAACATACTATCCACTGCACCACCGGTCTTTCTTGCCACAACCAATCCGGCAGCACATCTACCGTGTATCTGACTTTAAAACAGCATATGTCTCCCCCTTTCTTCTGCGACTTGCACATTTTTTTTTTGTGCCGGCTCCTCTGCCGACTTTTCATGGAAATCCTGCGACAATCCCTTTCATACTGAACCGCATATCTTCAATTCGTACCCATTAGGAAAGCAACCATTCTTTCCAGGATAAGCTAGCAGTCCGATTTTTGCGGAAGTCTTCGACTGGTAAACTTATCAGCAAGTTAAAAATAAAAGAATTATACTTCCATTCCTTGGCGAAATAGAGTTTGATATATGTTTAATGTTTGCAACGAGTTTCACCACAGAGTTTCTTTTGGAAAGAATGACGAGAACACAACATGACGAAATGATATAGCATGAGATGGTCCCGTTTCTCACTTGTCCCTACCAGGCCTTTTAAAGTTGTCCCAAACAAGTAGATTTGCGTAGATTTATTATCTACGGCTGCATTCATTTTCCAAATAAAAAAAGAGTACCCCATAAAACGTGATCGATATCTTCAATGAACTCCACAAATCTCCCTGGCTCTTTGATCCATCCTTCTAAAACTGTGCGATAACGGCCCCACAACAAACGAGCTTCGCAAAAACGACCAATTTTGCAAAATTTTTGCAAAATATTTTCCCAGGAGAAGCCGCTGAGAAATTCAGTCCATAAATTCATTTCTAAAGATTCGTGTCGTTCCAAACTTTCCTGAAAGGATATATTTAGCAAGAAGGATTTCAAAACCATACATTATTTAATGAAACATGCATACTGCGACGTTAGATGGTAATGGCGTCAAGTTTGCTCAATCCACCGATGTAGAACCCCAGTACTTTTTGAGATGTAGTACGCAATCCCTAAACCGTGTTAAACCAACGGAATTACAGGAGAGATGAATTCAAGCATGTGATGTATTAATAAAGTTTGAGAAAAAGTGATACTGCTTTTAAGGAAATCTTTGAGTACAAAGCGAGTGATTTAACATAATGAATTCTTTCATCTGGCGCAGCGGTGAATGTTTAACTATACGGTGTTAATCAATGGGGCTCTAAGATTCCAGCATTCTAGCTTCTCAGATCCCCGAGTTATGAACTTTCCCCAAAGAATTTTGGCGGGCTCGTGTGCGGGTACCACGCGGGTTTTGGCGCCCATTTTGGGGGTTGAGGCCGACACGTGTAAAATCGAAGAATCCATCTAGGTGCATGTACGGAGTTATGTGGAATCGACGAATTCAGAGCTGAAGCAGACGATGTCGTAGAAAATCTGCGAAAAGCCGGCAAAGAAGCCACCACAAAGAAAAAGTTGTATACTGCCTACTGCAGAAGCCAGGAAAAGTGTATTCTGCCTTGAAAAGCAGACAAAGTAAATGTGCCGCCAGACTGGTCACAGAGCACAAGGGCCGGTGGTGTAATGGATAGCATTTCATGTCCAGGTGTAAAGGGCACTGGTTCGATTCCCTGCCAGTCCTCCACCACTTTTGAAAAGGGCTTCATCCACGACAAATGAGGAGGTAAATAGAAATTGCATTAAACGCGTTGATAGCTGCGATAAAAACCAAAGTTTTGGTTGATATCTGAAATTTTCAAGTTATTTTGAATATGAAACAAACCCATGGGCCAAGAATCTCGCAGTAAGACTGGAAATTGTATCGAATAGTCGTCACTCGCTCGCTAGTTTCGCTGTCTAAAAAACATCTAGATTAAAAATTTGCGCGAAAGGAAAAAAGCACTTAAATATTCTATTATTTGGTAATTCCTCTACTATGGTCGGGTTTTTGCATCTCCCAGTGAAGTCCAGCACCTTGGAAACTCTTTTACTACTGATTACTGGATAACCTATTGTACAAGTAATCGCGTTATGAAAAAGCAAAGAAGAGAATAACACGAGATAACAAATTCTAAAAAGTGGAATCGATGAAAACAGAATCCAACGTCTTCTTTCTCTCAAGTACCACTCACTAATGCGCAACGTTCACCGGAAATACTCTACAAGAAATGGAAAAAGTTATACCTGTTATTTTCAGTGTCTGCAGGAAATTCAGTATTTTTTTAATCCACGAACGATCTGAACAATACATCACTGCTACAATACACATTTCGGCTACCTGAACAAGCCAAATTAGTAATAGCAACTATCTTTTTTTCATCCATAAAACTGATATTTTCGCATGATGCTAGGCTATTTTGGTCAATTTTCGATGAAGAACAGTTCACATAGTTCTGCGCCGTGTCTACTGCTAAAGGTAATCCTCGCATAGCTATTTCTGACAATTTTATACTGCGCCAAGCCACTTCTAGCAGCCAATGAATAATTATTTGAAACGGGAACCCCTAAATTTTTCGGTGATCCAAAAAATTAAAAATTCAAAAATTCAAATGCCAAATGCAAAATTACCCAGTCCTGATCGGAGATATTCTTCACCCAAACGAAAAAATTATCAGCATCCGAAGTATCCAGTGCACCTGCATTCAGTTTATTCATTTCCACAAAATGTTCAATACGAGCTTTATAAATAATCTGAAATAAAAATTTTCGATTTTTTTTTTTTGAGAAATTTAATAAACGGGAACAATTAGGTCGCCTTCTAGTGTACTGCCAGATATTACTGCAACCGAAAGGTGTCACGAAACTCTTGTATAACTGGATTCCAGTATAATTTCGTCTCCCCCCCCCCCCCCCCCCCCCCCCCCCC